AGCAAACTAAACAGTCATTTAGACCCCCATGGTATTCTAATGATGTACCCGAGTAACCTTGTGAAGCCTTTTGTCCACTGCCACCCTATTGCTTGCTTAGAAAAGCCCTCTTGGGTAATTCAGTCCTACTTAGTCTGTGGGAAGCCAGGTGAGTGGGTGCCTTCCTGACCCCCTCAGGCAGACCATTCCTATGGGCCAGAGCAGAGAAGACCCCAGGCCAGCCAGCGGAGGGACTGCAGAAGGGCAGTAATAGGCCTGCTCCATCTAGCTCCTGATAATGGCCCAGCCCTGGCCTTCTGCACCAGCTGGATCTTCTCAATTGGTTTTATGTAATGTGCAGGGCATTGATCTAGTTTAGTCTCCATGTCACTGTGGCATGGATCCTGGTGGCCGGATCAGCTGCATCAAGGGAAGGAGCCATTTGTTGAGCTAGGCTGAGTTGGGAGAAGCATTAACTTGCTTCTCCAGCAATAAGGTTGGGTCCAGTGTAACACCAAGGCTCTTAACTGAGTCAGCGAGGGTTAGCTGAAGCCCATCAAAAGTGAGGAACAGAAGAACGTGCCCTTCCCTGAGATGGGATTACAGCCATCAGCTCTGACTGTGATCTGTAAAGGATCCATCCTCCTTATACTGGTTAGGATTTTGGTCTTTGATGTTGACCATGTTTCTGTCCTTCCAGAATAATTTTTCTTCTTCCTTGGATTTCTTTCCTTCCCCACATAGATATCATAGACTCATAAAATCATAGAGTTGGAAGGGACCTCCAGGGTCATCTAGTACAACCCCCTGCACAATGCAGGAAATTTACAAATACCTCCCCCTCCCCCATGACCACCGTTCCATGCCCAGAAGATGAGAAAAAACTTCCAGGATCCCTAGCCAGAATGGCTAGAAGAAAAACTGCTTCCTGACCCCAAAGTGGCAATGAGCATTTCCCTAGGCATGTAAGAAAAGGCCACAAGAACTAAGCACTGAGGCAACCCTTCCTGCCCTCCCTCTCATCATCTGCCTAAATTCACAGAATCAGCATTGTTGTCAGATGGCCATCTAGCCTCTATTTGAAAACCTCCAAAGAAGGAGAGCCCACCAACCTCCTGGGGAAGCCCATTCCACTGAGGAACCACTCTTAACTCCTAATGTTTAGTCGAAAACTCTTCTGATTTAATTTCAAACCCTTGATTTTGGTCCGACGTTCTGGGGCAACAGAAAACAACTCCGTACCATCCTCTATATGACTGCCCTTCAAGTATTTTTTAATATATATATTTGATTTAATATAAAAGCTATAACAAAAAAATAAGCAAAATAAACCAAGAAAAGAGGGGGGAAATTCAACACAGGACCTAACAGGATTTTATCCAACAAACTGGCATCTGCAATTGGATGTATCTCAAATTATTTCTTCAGTTTGAATCTTGAAGAGAAATAATTCATAAAACAATTGACTGATTGGACTGCAATACACTGAAGTAATTTGCAAATTTTAAAAAGTTCCAAAATGCAGTTTAGACACAAAAATAATGCAAAACCAGATTGGATATACAAATTTCAGCAATACTAATACTGGTTTTTTATCTTTGAAAACAAAGGACTAAAGCTCTCAGAATTACTAGTGTTCGATGGTTTCAAACCTGGGAAATTTTACTAAGGATTGTAAGGTCCAGTGAACAAGAGCTTCTGAATAAGACTCTCATTCTCACTTCAGACAAAGGTTAAAGGATGCCATGGTTTCATATTTTTACAAGGAAGTATAAAGAATAATTAAAGAAGTAAATATTTATTTAAAATATTGGCGCGGTTATCATGGCAGGAGCTTTTGTTTGGTTTGGTCAGGGCTCAGTTTCAGCAGTTTTTCTGTCATTGGAATCTTAGCCTCTTTAGAAATTGGTGTTTTGTGTCCCGGCATCACATTTCTCTGTCTGCTGTTTTATTGAAGTCAAGGTCTTAAGTAAAATAGTTGAGTTTGGGTTTGAAGAGCTGGAATCAGATAACTAGGGTACTTCTGTGGGAGGGTGAGGGTCCACCTGCCGGTTTGTAGATTTGATGGGGGATGCGGTGAGTGAGGGACCATCCGGAGTGGAAGTTTCCATAGGTGTCCCAATGCTGGTTTCTTTTTTTTTGGCCCCCCGAAGGGGAATTTTTTTGTTTCTTTTATTTTCTACACACTACATATATGGAATGAGGAAAGGAACACTAATGCCCTATTACTATGGGAAATGGGTCAGGGAATTCTAGATACATATAATCTACTGGATCGGGGAAGGAAAAACTACGATTCTATTCTAAATCTACTGGATATGGGGAAGGGATAAAGACTAATACAAATCACAATCTGAAGAGCTTAAAAATAGATCTTTTTAACATATTAGTAATGATTATACAGAGATTAGTTTGATTATAAAAAGTATAAAGTTATTAGCTTAGCACAGTTACTACCCTTAGCACTCATGCTTTAGTTTTAGAGTCTTTTCTTCTTAGATTTCTTCGTTTTCTGCAGTTTGGGAGTGGCCTCTCCTTTCTATGATTCTGATGACAAGGAGATTTGGCTTGTTGAGTCCTGCGAGTAGGACTCCTCCTCCTCTTCTTCTTCCTCCTCAGATGATTCTGATGACGAGGAAATTTGGCTTGTTGAGTCCTGTGAGTAGGACTCTTCTTCTTCTTCTTCCTCCACATCCGGTTTTAAATTCTTTTCCTTCTTTTTTATGTTAAACATTTGGTCCATAAATCTTTCTGCTTTTGGAACAGAGTCAATTTTATATTTTTCCCCCTGGTAATTAAAACTCAACCCTTCCGGAAATAGCCATCTATATGATATTCCCTTTTTTTGCAGAGAGAGAGTAAGCATCCTGTATAGTTTCCTCCTTTTTCTTACTTCGAATGGGATGTCTTTCAAAAATTTTATCTCTTCATTCTTGATTTTTAAGGATTTCCCCATTGTTGACTTTAGCACCAGTTCTCTGGTTGATCATTTCGTGAATTTTAAATAAGTCTCCCCTGGGAGTTTATTTTTCTTTATAAAGTCCTGTATGCCACATCCATTTCCTTAATTAAGTCTTCTTGTTTGTAATCCATTAGTTGGGCCAAGGCAACTGCCAAGAGTTCCTTTAGATCCTCATTCTTATCCTCAGGTATTCCATGGAAACGTAGAACATACATGGATCTTTCCAGCTGGAGCTGTATTGTGTTTTATCCGAGGATCTCCGGCCCCATCTGTCCTCCCCCAGCCATAATATCAACAAGAAGTAAATTTTCCAAAACAAAGCAAAAGTTATACGTTTTAATTCCACTTCGTATATTTTAGCAGCTTTTGCGTTCGCTTAACTTCTTATGCGCTTGGTTTGGCTCAAAGTCTCTTTATTTTCACTTTAAAACCATTTTTTTACAGTTTACTCCTATGGGGGGGGCTTGAAATCTCCTCCCCCCGCGCTTCAAACTTAGGCACTTCCAATTACTACCAAGGCTTTATTCGCTTATTTTTCACCTGAGCTTTGCTTAATTCACAGTTTGTAGCCTTGGAGATCTTTTGGAAGCCTTTTTTACGAGTTTGGTCGTGATCGCTTACTCCGGCAGTAGTCTCTAGGCACCATACTGGGTCCGTGGCGACGGTACCTATCGGGGAAGAAGGTGAGCCTCAATTCCTCGGGCGTCCCCTTGGAAGAGGCTCTCCTCAGCTCCCCAGGCTGGGGGTCTCCTACAGAGACCCCGGGGGGTCTGGGACAAACTCAAACCCCTCCCGTCAGCCAGGTCTCTGCGCGTCTCCATCTGAGCGAGGTGAGACGCGTCCGAGCGGGGGAGATTGTGCTTTTTTTTTTTCCCCCGTGGGGGGGGGGGGGGGGGGGCAAGTGTTGGTCTCACTGTTCAACTGTGTATTGAGACAAATATGTTTGATGGTTCCTTCAGATTAGATGAATTAGTCGTGGATTGCTCTGCCCTCTTCAATAGTGGGCTTTTCTGGATTGTCCCATAGGTGTACGTCGGAGAAGATCCTCTAGGTCTCCTTTGATCTGATTTGGAAGGTTCTACAAAATGTGCTATATTTACCGCCCTTGTCAGTAATAGTTTCTTCCATTCCTCTGCTTCATCTTCCTCCATTTCCAATGGGGGGTGGAGTCTTTGTCGGAAAAGTTTTGTTTTTCTTGCAATGCTCTAGGCATCGGTTTGGAGGGGTTCTTGCCACCTTTTGGTCCCTTAGTTTCCCCCATCGTTTTGGTGAAGCTATAATATTTAAATTGTAGTCCAGGTTTTTTTTAAAATTTTAATTCTTTTGTTGGAGCTCGATGCAGAGGCAGTAACGGGTGCAACTGCTCAGCTCAGACGCCGCCCCCCCCCCCCTTCGTGATGACAGGGACAACATTTGTCCACCTCCAGTCTTCTGGCACCTCACTTGTTCTCCAAGAATTCTCAAACATAGTGGACAGAAGCTCAGAAATTACATCCGTGAGTTCTTTTAGTACCCTTGGATGCAGTTCATCTGGCCCCGAGGACATAGTCTCATATAAAGAAACTAGGTGTTTATGTACTACCCCTATGCCGATCCTAGGCTGCAACTCCCTTCCCTCACCATGTGTTCTGCTTTTGCCATGTTGAGCACCATTTCCCCTGCAACAGAAGACTGAGGAAAAGTAGGAATTGCGGATTTCTGCCCTCTCTTCATCACCTGTTGCAATTTCACTTTCCTGTCCCTGCAATGGGCCTACCGTATCCTTGCTCTTTTTCTTACTTCAAACATAGGAACCCTTTTTTGTTGTTTTTTGCATCTCTCACTACCTTTAACTTTCTTAACTCTCTCTCTACAAGCACTGGCTGTTTGTTTCTATTCTTCCTTGGTTATGAGGCCCTCCTTCCACTTTTTGAATGAGTATTTTTTTTTTATTTCTCAAGTCTTTAGAAAGCTTTTTATGGAGCCACCTTGGCTTCTTTAGGCTCCTCCCATTTTTCCTTCTCATATGATCTCTCTCTCTCTCCCTCTGTGCCAAAGAAGCCAGGAATGTAACAGAGACTATGGCGGAGACAGACCAAGACCTTGTGTTTGAAGAATGGCTAAAGTGTTTCTCAGGAAGATCTCAAGAGACTATCTCCTTCCCAGATGAGCTGGCTGCTAGTGAGTATCCTTCACAGTTATGTCAAGGGAATGGGTGCGGAACAGCCATGGGACCTTTCCTCTTCACTTCTAAACAACCCTTGGTTTGGTAGAATTCTCAAGCTCGCTGGGTAAGGAGGGAAGGAGGCCTTCTGGGGCCTGGGATCTGGGGGCCCGGAAGCTCCTTTTGGGGCTGAGTTCAGCTGTGGCTCTTGAGTGGCTGCTGTATCCTTAAATACAGCATATTCCAGGGAAAGGGGGGGGGGTTTACCTAAGAATAGCCCTGCTGCACAAGGCCAGAGGCCTCCCCCCCTTTTTTCCAGTTTATATCTAACAATTCCTACAGTGGTCTCCTGGATATCTTCAGGCCTTCCTGTTAGGTGGAGATGGGTTTGAGTTCTTTCTTTGGAGCTGTTCTACCTTGCAGGGGTGTCCTGGAGCAGGTAGTCCCACCAGTTAACACCGCCACCCAAGGGCAAGTGGTTTACGCCAAATCACACATCACCCTCTGTTGTGGTGACGGGAATCAGTCCTTACCCCAAGAGAGTGGGGTCATGTGTTACTGAAGAGATTCCTACTGAAACGGTCAGCCCAGGTAGCACAGTTTGTTTGAGCCACAACAGGATAGAGAAAGCACTGTAGCCACCTTCTGTCTCCCCAAGAGGCAAGCGACCTTCACAGAGGCTAAGTCCTTTCCAGCCCTTTGAGGCAGGAAACCATCTGCCAAAGAAAAGCACAAACACACAGAAAAGCCAGGAATACCTGTCCACTCAGCATGCTTCGATGCCTGGGTTTTTCCAAGGCCAGCCGGCACCATCTCCCTCTGTCCCCAGGAAAGAGGGTTGACAATGAAGACAACCCTCTGCTGCTCTTAGGGTCTGCCAAACTAGCTTTACATTACATCACCCTAGTCAGCTTACAAACTCCTTTCCCTTCCCCTCCCCACAACAGACACCCTGTGTGGTACATGGGGCTGAGAGAGCTCTGACAGAGACTGCTCTTTTTCAAGAACAGCTGTGCCAGAACTAAGACTTGCCCACAGTCATTCAGCAGGTGCAAGTGGAGGAGTGGAGAATCAAACCCGGTTCTCCCAGATTAGAGTCTGCACACTTAACCACTACACCAAACTGACCAAAATGGCTCTGAGCTTGAGAAAGGTGACCCTACACTGCAAGGTTGGTTTTCTCATCTGTCATTACCTGCCCCTCTCCAAACAAACAGAACCTTTTCGAAAAACCATGGGGGTCCCCTTTGAACTATTGCGTTCACCTGGTGAGCTCCTGGCTCTGTTGACAACTGGAAGGAAACTCTCAGTGCACGTGCAAGACTGGGTGTCTTGACAATTTGTATTTCATCACCAAGTGCAGAGAGTCAAAAGTCAAAAAGCACTGCAATTCAAAGGGGAACAGCGGGGGAACAATTTTCTGCCACTTTTTTCCTTAAAATACATATGGGGAGTTTGGGGAGGGGAGGGACGGGCAGAAAATAAAAATAGCTCTACAGGAGGGCCTGGCAGGGATAAGATGTGACCGATTTCTCAGTTTGGGAGGAAAGATGACCTGATAACAGAAATGCACCCCCATTCCTGAGCAGTGCCTGGCTGGTGCCTTGGCTTCTTGCATGGGTGCTGATTGACACTCTTACTTTATTCCAGCAGCGGATGTAGAAGAGACAGCTGGGGAATTCCAGGGGTTCCCTTTGGAAAAAGTAATGAATGAAGATGGTGAAGGACACTTCGGAGATGGACCACAGAGGCAGGGCGGAAGCCATTCAGGTAAGAGGAGGGATAAGCCCATTTCTTGCTGAGTAGGGAGTTTCTATGAAATCCCAATCCGAAGAAGAAAGGTCAATCAAAAGGAGAAGGAGAACTCGCCCCTTCCCTCCCCCTCAGTCACTGCCAGACATTGTCATGGAGGCCTCTCTCCCCTTTTTCTTTGACTTCACTCCTGCAGGCGCTCACATCCCCCCTCTGTGGGCATCCGAGTTGCCCTCGCCGCCCTCACCTTCTTGGCTTCCCCTCAACCAGCAAAATGAAATTTAAAAAAAGAAAAGAAAGAATGGGAAAAGGCCTCCGTCCTAACCAGAGAATCCACTCTGGGAAAATGAAAGTGTGGCCTTGACAAAGATCTTCAGTCAGGGAATGGTCATTTTGCAGACTCAGATTCCCTCAGGAGAGAAACCAAATAATTGCTTGCAGTGCAGAAAGCGCTTCAGTCGATAAACAGCCCTTAAAGGTAAAAGGTCAAGGGTTTCCCTTCCTCGAAAGTCAGTCGAATCCGACTCTAGGGGGCAGTGCTCATCTCCGTTTCCAAGCCGAAGAGCCAGCGCTGTCCGAAGACGTCTCTGTGGTTATGTGGCCGGCATGACTAAACGCCGAGGTGTACGGAATGCTGTTACCTTCCCACCGAAGTGGTACCTATTTATCTACTTTCAGTTTCTTGCTTTCGAACTGCTAGGTTGGCAGGAGCTGGGACCAGAGACGGGAGCTCACTCCATCACACAGCATTAGGGTCTCGAACTGCCCAACTACAGACCTTCGGTCTGCAGCTTAGCATCTTAACCTCTGAGCCACCGTGGCCGCTAAACAGCCCTTACTTCCCACCAAAAAAGTCACACAGGTGGGGAACCATATAAACAGTCAGTCCAAACCAAGCATCTCTCATGCAGGAGGCTTAATGGATTTTTAAAGTATATGTCATTGTACACTTCAGCATACAGCAGAAGGAAGCCACTGTAATATTTGGATTGCGCGGGGATAAGACATTGAAAATTAAAGATAAAGAGATAAGAATTTTGAAAGAAATCCCATGGAAGATGGGACAGAAAAGGAAGGAATATACATGCTTAACTTGCAGCAAATTCAATTTCTTTTAGATGATTAGTACCAGAAGGGATTCTATTCACATTTGAAGGTCAGAGATTTAAGATCGACTCGACTCTTAAAGTTAAGGACTTTATGGAATGACATGAGAGTATATTGAGTGGGGGAGGGTTGAAGAAAGTGATGGTGAAGAGTGGAATCCCACCTGAGAAAGAAGGAGATGACTTGACACAGGATTATTCAACAGAATCGATGAAGAACTTGAACTAGCAGAGAACCCAAATCTGGAATCAAAATCCCAAAGAAGGACAAGAAGAAATAAGGAAGGTAGTAATAAAGGATGCGTGTACTGGATGGAACAACAATAAAAATATTCTGAACTAATATCAATGGTCTTAAGTTTTCCAGAGAAGAGAAGGAAAATTTTTAACCCTGTTTAAAAGAAACACATTTAAGATCAACACTACATGTTATGTAAGAATCTTGGACTTACCTTTGTATCATCAGATGAAGTTAGAAAGAGCGGTATTATAGTATTTGTAAAGGAAGAACTGAAACCTATCTTGATTTTTTCGGCAAAAGATGAGAGGCTGTTGCTGGTTGAAATTACTATTGGGGACAAAAGGATCTTAGTAGTAATAATATATGCCCCAAATGATCACCAAGGATTTTTTTTTTTACCTTTTAAAAGAGGTTTTAGCAAGATTTGATTATACTGACATATGCCTACTGGGAGATTTCAATGCAGTTTTTGATTACGACATGGATAGGAAGACTAATAAGAAAGTTAAGGACTTCTTCCAAGATCCTTTTTAGAACTTGTTGAAGAATATAAAGTGGTTGATGCTTAGAGAGTAAGAAATCCCACAGGAAGAGACTATACATTCTATTCTGACAGACACAAATCCCGCTCTAGAATTGATATGTGCTGGACTTCACTAAGGTTCTTACAGGATACCCAGATTGACATTTTACCCAGATCATATGCAGACCATAATCCTCTGCTGGTGAAAATAAAGGACACCCAAGAAAATTTAGGTGGAGATTAAATGTTCAACTGTTGAATGATGTATAATCCATGGAGTATGTTATAAAGCAAATGAAACTATACTTTCAGCAAAATATGAATAGGGAAACACCAAGAACTGTTTGGGATGCAAATAAAGCCTATTTTAGAGGATTGGCAATTAGATTCACAGTTAGTCGGAGACAAAAAAACAGGAAACATTACTGATATTTTAGATCATTGAAGAAAAAAGAAGGCAACTTGAAAATAGACCCTTCAAATGAAAATTTAAAATCTAAAAATCCTTCAACATCAACTTAACTTGCTGCTTTCAGAAGAAAGGGCTAAAAACTGTGAAATTTGCAAGACAGAACTACTTTGAGCACACAAATAAATCAGGGCAATGGCTAGCCTACAGACTCAGAAAGGAGAGAGAAAAGCAATTGATCCACTCTTTATATGATGGGGAGAAGAAGGAGGTATTTCAGAAAGAAGAACTAAAGAAAATAGTGCAATCTTTTTATACCCAGCTATATAGGGAAGAACAAATACCAAAGGATAAACAAAAGCAGTACATACAAAAACAGGATCTTCCTATATTAGCCAAAGAAGATAGGAAATATCTTAATGACCCCATCATGATAATGGAAATCACAGAAACTATACAAAAGCAAAATAGGGGTAAAGTGCCGGGTCCAGATGGGATACCCACAGAATATTATAAAGTGCTAGAAGGTATTATGCAATCTGAAGAGAAACCAGATAGTAATGCAATCAGTCAGTCTAGAGTGGCCCCTTTCTTCACATTTTTTTAAAAAGACCATACCATGTCATCTTACCTAAAGACTTTAACGACAATGAAATTAAGGTTGGCCTTTACCAATTTAAGATTTCAAGCTATGCCCTCTATGGTTCACACCGGCTGATTCCTAAGGGTCCCTGCCCCCTTAGGACTTTGTGTGGTACTGGAGAAGTAGATGATTTGACCCATTACATTTTGAGATGCCCTCTTCTTTTGCTCCCCCGAAATGAATTTATCACTAGTATCTTATCTCTGCAGGAAGGAGTTTCAGATATGAAAAAAGTTATATTTTTGCTTGCAGATAAAGATCCGTATGTTTCTAACAGAGTTGCTTTGTTTGCATTGGTGGCTAGATCGATTAGATCGAACTGTATGGAAAGAACCTAATTTGGCTCTGTATTTATATGACCTCGTTGAATATTAATTTAATTTGTATTTACCTTGGAGTTTTATCATGTGGGATTTTATGCACTGGGTTGGTTTTTTTGGTATTGTTATGACCTATGGTCAACACAATAAATTACTACTACTAGAAGATATTATTCTTCTACCATAAAAGAATATGATTATGACAGCTATGAAAGAGGGTTTTTTGCCTAACTCTTGGATGGGAGGAACAATTTCACTGATACATAAAGAAGGAACAGATCCAAAAGTAGTTAAGAATTATTGACCTATATACTTGCTCAACTAATTATAATCAACTATATACTTGATTATAAAATTTTTGCATCAGACTTGGTCATGAGATTGAAAAAAGTATTATCAGAACTTATACATCAAGACCAAACAGGATTTTTACCAAAAAGGCAATTAAGGAACAATGCTAGAATGGTTCTGAACATATTAGAATATTATGAAGCTCATCCTGAGAAACAGATGGCCCTAGTATTTTTGGATGCGGAAAAAGCTTTTGATAATGTCAGGTGGCAATTTCTTATTGAACAGATGCAGGAAATGAAATTTGGATCTGACTTTATAAGAGCAGTTGAAGCCATCTACACTAAACTGAAAGCAAGGATAGCCATAAGCAATGATTTGACAGGTATTATTTGGATTGAGAAAGGGACAAGACAAGGATACCCTTTTTTGCCTCTTCTATTTATTTTAGCTTTGGAAGTTTTGACAAGAGCAGTCAGGAAAGACCCTGCAATTAAAGGCGCCTCAGTTAAGGGTCATAAGTATAAGTTACAAGCATTTGCAGATGATTTAGTATTTATTCTAGACCCAACAGACTTTATAGAATATTTGTTGAATAAAATTAGCATATGGAAAAATGGCTGGGATGAAGATCAGTGACCCAAAAAAAAGGTTATAACAAAGAATATGACTTCTAACCACAAATTTAACAGGATTTCAGATACATAAATATTTGGGAATAAACTTAACCTCAAAGTGTAGTTCTTGGTGAAGGACAATTGCCTGAAATTGTTCCAAGAAATTAAGAAAGGTCTAGAAGGATGGAAAGATCTCCATTTATCCCTGATGGGAAGGATTGCAGCTGTGAAAATGAAAGTATCGCCACTTATTATTTTCTTGTACCAGACTATTCCTGTTTGCATTAATCGCTCCTTTGAAGACGTGAATAAACAAACATCTACATTTATATGGCAAGGAAAAAAGCCAAGAATTAAGTTGAAAGTTCTACAAGATTTTAAAGAAAATGTAGGTTTTGCTCTACCAGATTGCAGGATGTAAGGCAGCCTCCCTAGTATGGATGAGAGACTGGATTATATTGGACAATCAAAGACTCTTAGTTCTAGAGGAACATGATTTAAAGTTAGGGTGGCATGCTTTTGCTTGGTATGGGAAAGTGGCTGGACATAAATACTTTAAAAATCATCTGATAAAAAAATCTCTATTAACAACTTGGGGGGAAAAAATCTTACCTTTGGTCTACTCTAAAATTCCAAGATGGGTCTCACCCTTGGAAGCTTTTTTTCAACCAAATTTAATCCCCTCAGGTAGAATTTTCAGATATGAAGACCTTTTAGATCAGGGATGTCAAACATGCGGCCCGGGGGCCAGATCAGGCCCCTGGAGGGCTTCTATCAGGCCCTCAGTGCAACTTCTGCTTCTTCTTCCAGTTGTGCTGCTGCTGCTGCTGCATCATCATAGGTTTGCAGTTTAAAGATACACACCTGAATGGCATACTGAATATTGCAACAGCGCAGATATGATGATGCAATAATTCAGAGAAAGAGATGTCACTTATCAGACACTGTTAAATAAGCAAAATATTGCAAGAGTGCTAATGTTTTAAGCATGTTATTTTAAGTTAAAAAAAAACCGTTATAAAGTTTGTATCTTAGCTACCTGGCATTATATTTTATGACACACATGGCCCGCCCCAACAAGATTTATGTCAGATCCAGCCCTCATAACAAATGACTTCGACACCCCTGTTTTAGATGATAAAGGACTTTTAAAAACAAAGGAAGAATTAACAGAGCAAGGGATTACTATGGACTGGTGGACAAGGGCTCAAATTGAATCCAGATATGCTAAAGATTAAAAAATTGGTTTTTATTCTGAACAAAATATATTTGAGAAGTTGTTGTGCACATCTAATGATGAGTTGATTAAGAAAATGTATATATTTTTAAAGCAAATGAAAATGGAAGATGAAGTGGTTAAAGACTGTATGGTGAAATGGATGCAAAATTTGGGTTATAATCAAATATCCCTCTAAGCTGTGGAGTCTTGTGAGCAAAAACTTCGTGAGCTACTGGCATTAAAGCTGTGAGCAAGCGATCTGACTACTGCATAAGTCAGTTTGCCTTGGAGCCATCTTTCCTGAGATAAGACCAAAATGTGTGAGCCGGAGGCTAAAAAAACTGTGAGCTAGCTCACACTAACTCAGCTTAGAGGGAATATTGGTTATAATGTTGATCTTACACAGTGGAGTAAACTATGGAAAGTGAATGTGAAAATAAGTTGGTGGCATTTAAAGATAATATATATAAGATGTTTTACAGATGGTATTTAACACCAGACAAAGTAGCTAAAATGTATAAAAATACGTCAAATGATTGTTGGAAATGTTAAGAACATGTGGGTATGTTTTATCGTATATGGTGGGCATGTGATACAGTGCATAAATTTTGGGTTATGGTACACACTTTTATACAGGCAGTTTTGCAGATCTCAATACCTTTTTGTCTAGAATTCTTCTTATTGTGTTGTATACCTGAGAATTTTGATAAAAATCAAAGGTATTTTATAATTCATGTAGTAACTGCAGCTAGAATCTTATTTGCAACTTATTGGAAACTTCCATCAACACCTACTGAACATGACCTAATAGTGAAGATTATGGAATGTGCAGAAATGGACAAGCTGACATCTATGTTAAAAGGGCAAATGGAAGAAGACAATGTTGGACTATAATTGGATAAGAAAGAAACACAAAGACTTGTACTTTCTAATAGTATAATACTAAGAAGTTTTCATGATCTTTTAAACCTTGCAGCCTATCTGTGATATGAAATGACAAGTTACATGCAGAAAATTATTACATACATTTCTTTACCTGACCCCTTCCCCTTTCCACTTCCTCACCCTTGTATATGATAAAAACTTAATAAAAATCTATTTAAAATATATATATTTGGATTGAGGATAGAATTTCAGGTGCAGATCAGACCTCCTTGCATGGGTTCTAACAGGATCTCGTTCTTTATTCCAGCAGGGGATGGTCAGAGGAATGAGGAGGATGAGGAACTGCATCCTCTCTCGCCAGATGAAGTCAATAATGAAGACTTGAGAGGAAACTTCAGAAACCAAGTTGGACCTAAGAGGCAGAAAAGAAGCAACATCATCAAGAAGAGGGGTAAAACCATTCTCCCCCAAGGGGGGGATTTCCAAGAAGTAATTCGCACGGTGAAGGAAACATACAAGTGCTTGGTGTGTGGAATGAACTTCTCAGATCACTCCCAGTATACTGTCCATTTACGAATGCACAGTGGAAAGAACACTCCCCACTGGCTGGAACGTGGAAAGACCATGATTCGCAGAGCAGAGCTCCTTGGACTTCAAAGAACACACAGAAGAGAGAAACCATACAGCTGCTCAGACTGTGGCAAGAGATTCTCAGAGAAATCAAACCTTGTTCGACACGAAAGGATGCATTCAAGAGAGAATCTATTTATCTGCTCAGAGACTGGAATGACGTTCTCTGTGGGAGGCAAAGGTAATATACATCTTCCAAAGCACAGTATAATGAATGCATGTAAATGCTTTTGGTGTGGAAACTACTTCAAATACAGATCACAGCTCCTTGTGCACCAAAGAATCCACAGAGGGGAGAAGCCATTTGAATGCTCAGAGTGTGGGAAGAGATTCAGCCGCAGTGGCCATCTTCAAGAACATCTAAGAACCCACACAGGGGAGAAGCCTTTTGAATGCTCAGAGTGTGGGGAAAAATTCAGTTGCAGTGGCTATCTTCAAATTCATCTAAGAACCCACACAGCAGTGAAACGTTTTGAATGCTCAGAATGTGGGAAAAGATTCAGTCGCAGTAGCCATCTTCAAAATCATCTAAAAAGCCACACAGGGGAGAAGCCTTTTGAATGCTCAGAGTGTGGGAAGAGATTCAGTCACAGGGACACCTTTCAAAACCACCTAAGAACCCACACAGGGGAGAAGCCTTTTGAATGCTTAGTGTGTGGGAAGAGATTTGTTCGCAGTGGCCATCTCCAAGAGCATCTAAGAACCCACACAGGGGAGAAGCCTTTTGAATGCTCAGAGTGTGGGAAGAGATTCAGTCACAGTGGTGCTCTTCAAGAGCATCTAAGAACCCACACAGGGGAGAAGCCTTTTGAATGCTCAGAGTGTGGGAAGAGATTCAGCCACAGTAGCGCTCTTCAAAATCATGTAAGAACCCACACAGGGGATAAGCCTTTTGAATGCTCAGAGTGTGGGAAGAGATTCAGTCGTAGTGGCAGTCTTCAGGAACATCGAAGAACCCATACAGGGGAGAAGCCTTTTGAATGCTCAGAGTGTGGGAAGAGATTCAGTCGCAGTGGCACACTTCAAAATCATCTAAGAACCCATACAGGGGAGAAGCCTTTTGAATGTTCAGAGTGTGGGAAGAGATTCAGTCACAGTGGTGCTCTTCAAAATCATCTAAGAACCCACACAGGGGAGAAGCCGTTTGAATGCTCAGAGTGTGGGAAGAGATTCCGTCGCAGTGGCCATCTCCTAGAACATCAAAGAACCCATACAGGGGAGAAGCCTTTTGAATGCTCAGAGTGTGGGAAGAGATTCAGTCATAGTGGTGCTCATCAAGAGCATCTAAGAACCCATACAGGGGAGAAACCTTTTGAATGCTCAGAGTGTGGGAAGAGATTCAATCGCTGTGGTGCTCTTCAAAATCATCTAAGGACCCACACAGGGGAGAAGCCTTTTGAATGCTCAGGGTGTGGGAGGAGATTCAGTAGCAGTAGCCCTCTTCAAGAACATCTGAGAGCCTGTAGGGGAATTTTGGACGTCCAGGCTGCTACCAGGAATCCCCAACCCCATTAGCGTTCTTTCCTATGGGTGGTTGGAGTCTGGGTAGGGAATTCAGGCCTTCAGAGGGAGAGAAACACAGCGAGGACAGTTGCCTTAAACGAAAAATATTATTAACTCTAAAACCATACAGTCTAAGGCTGTGATCACGCACACAAAACAATCCACTTTCAGCGCACTTTTCAACTGTATTTTACTGTGAAAACTGGCAAAATCCAGTTGGAAAGTGCACTGAAAGTGGATTATTTCGTGTGTGTGATTGCAGCCTAAAAATATTACCTCTAAAACCATAAACAAGTAAAACGTAATAACATATATTCAATATCAGTACCGAATAGCATACAGAAAATTCCCATTGCTCGATATAGTGTACACTTCAGAAAGAACAAGGAATCCCTGGACTGTGGACCAAGACCTCACTCAAGCCTAGGTGAAATGTTGGCTAAACAGCCTCAAACAAAGCCCAAAGCCTCCTTTTTAAATTCTTTTCAGCCAACAGGAATCGAGGGAGGAGTCAATTAAAATATTCCAACCTTGCCAAATACCAGCCCTTCCTAAATTGATAAGATGAGTTTTTGTTAACTTGATCTTTTGCCCAGATAGATTTTATTAAGTCCTTGACATATACGTTTAGGCTTTGGAACCTGGCACCTGGAAGGCCGTCGAATGTGAATTCCAGGAAAGGTACATCTACAGGACAGGGCTCTAGTTTTTACGCCTAGGCTGCCTACAAAAGAGGAAAGGCTTATGGGACTTCTGAACCAAGAAACCAAAGTCAGTAATAGCAAAACCTACATCGCATAGAAAAATATAAAGGCCCAGGCTCATTGAATCCCAAATAATACCACAGAACCCACACAGGGGAGAAGCCGTTTGAATGCTCAAGAGTGTGGGAAGAGATTCAGCTGGAGTAACTTCCTTGAAAAGCAGCAGAGAACCCGCACCATGTAACTGCTTAGCTCAGTGGTGTCAAACTTATTTCTTACGAGGGTCGGACCTGACATAAATGTCACTTTGTTGGTCCAGGCCAATTTATGATATTACTTTTTACTCAAAATACAAACATCCTTAAAACATTAAGAGTGTGTCCTTCATTTAATGGTCTTTGATAACTGACACCTCTTGCTCTGAATCATTGCATCAAAATCTGGAGCCAATGTCTGTGCTGTAGCAATCTTGAGGATGCTGTTTAAGTGTGTTTCCGTACACTGAGAATGTACTTTTGCTTTATTGACATTCATTTACAGAAAAGAGCTGTTCACAGACATACATTATCCCAAACAGAGACAGAATTTTACAAGCAAAAGCCTTTAGGTGGGGGTAATTCAGACCCCCAAACCGGTAAAATTTCCTAATGCCCACCTCAGAAAGATTACCCTTCAACACGGCATCACCCTGCTCCCCCACCTACCTGCCATTTGTGGCATCCACTAATTGATAGGTGAGGAGAAGCAAGAAAACGGGCTGTTCAGAAAAGAACATGATGAAGGGAATCCTGAGGGTGGGGGAAATTGTCATAGCCTGTCAAAGACTTTGTCCCGTGGGACACCTGTTTTAAGAAGAAACATAAGATTCCCTTCAAACCGATGGGTATGGAGTTTAGCTGTACCCCATCTAACTCCCCAACAGGAACACAAAGTGGCTAAAGATGTTTTATAAGGTTGAGAGAATGCAGTGGGCCCAAGGTCACAAGCAGGTTTTCCGGCAGAATGGCATTTGACCTTCGGTCGCCCAGATCCTAGCCTAAAGCTCTAACTGGTACACCATACTGGCTGTCATTCTTATGTGACAAATGGTGTCACATAAGAATGACTCCAGAGACAGTCTATACTCAGTTGTTCAGGTTTATCACCATTACTGAAAAACAGAAGCTCCAAACAATGACTGATGGTTTTGAAGGCTACCATGGAACCAAGAGTTCTTCATGGAGATGGGAATAGCAAGCTTTGCCTCTGCCTGAAGCAGGCCCTGTGCTGAAAAAGACCAGGGATTAGTGCTGGGGGACTGCAGCAAGGTGGTGGAACCAAGGCAGCTGGATCACTGGGTCGGCCTTGAGAACTGGCCATTAGCAAGGGAGCAGAGAGCAACAGAGAATTGGTCCTGACCCAAAGAAGGGTTAGATTTATATCTACACCCTTCACTTGGATTCTCAGAGTGGTTTACAATCTCCTTCCCTTCCTGTCCTCACAACAGACACGTGGTGAGGGAGGTAGGGCTGAGAGAGTTCTGAGGGAACTGTGACTTACCCAGGGTCACCAAGCTGCTGCTACATGTGAAGGAGTGGGGAATCAAACCTGGTTCTCCAGATTAGAGTCCTCTGCTCTTAACCACTACCCCAAACCGAGGCAGTCCCAATAGAGTTGAGTCAGGAAATGAAGCTCAGCTGGCCTGAAGCATAACTACTTTTTTTTGTCCCCCGAACAAAACTAAGGAGCACAAGAAACTCCGCCCACTTCAGCAGTTCTCCAAAACTTCAGGGGCTGAAGAGGTCCAAACAACCCCAACTGAAAGGCACAATACCCTCCAGATACCTTACTCGTTTTGTGAAGAGTCACTGAAAATTGCAAGGCTCTGTTAACCCCATGCCTCCAAGGATTCACACTTAAAACACCACCATTATGGAGAAAAGCAGCCACTCCTCTTTGCATCCCGTGTTTTCACAAACTCTGAACTCAGAATTATTCAAGAAGAGCAGGCCCTCACTGCTGTGAATGACGCTTGACTTAATTTAGAGATCTCGTGGCAGGGCAGCACATATTTTTTCACACTGACATCCCTGTGTCTTCGGCACTCTCCAAATCAGGCCATAGAAGAAGAAGAAGAGATGAGATTGGATTTATACCCCGCCCTTCACTACCCAAAGGTGTCTCAGAGCGGCCTACAAACTCCTTCCCCTCCCCACAACAGACAACCCTGTGAGGTAGGTGGAGCTGAGAGAGCTCTTGACAGAAACTGCTCTTTTTTCAAGAACAGCTCTTATCAGAACTACGGCTTGCCCAAGGTCATCCAGCCAGGTGCAAGTGGAGGAGTGGGGGATCAAACCCGGTTCTCCCAGATTAGAGTCCACGCACTTAACCCACTACACCAAATAGGGCACTGCATTCTCGCTGGATCCCCGTGGGCCGGGCAAAGGAGTGCTCAAGATGTCTCTTGTATTTATGGCCCAGCCTCTCACCCCTTCAATAGACTCCCCAAGTCCATCTCCCTGCTAAGTCTTTCCCACATGGCAATTTAAAACTGTATTTTGTACAGAGGGCAGCAGCATCCAAGCCATTTTATTATTTTCCCCAGTTGATAAAGTTTGGGGTTTTTTGCAGCATAGGACTTTCCCCCTTACTCCTGTGCGTTTTGTTTTTTGATTGAGCCGTGTCTTCTAACAAGGGGGCAGTTCCACCCCTCTGGGCTTCTTCATGCAGATTCCGGCCTTCTTAGGAAAAGCCTGCAAAGTTCAGCTCTTCACAGAACTAAAAGGGATTTACAATCTAATATCACCCTGACCTATTCCACGTTTCCTAGTGATTTCCTGTTGATCAAAAAGCCTCACCTTCTTGGCTTCAGAGCCTGCATTTTGAGACATTCCTGTAACTTCTATATGTGGTAAACAAACACTATTTCCTCCTGATGTTTTCCACCAAAATGTCCCTGCAACATGGGCAGCAGCTCAGAGAAGAGCTGGAGTTTTTGCTACGACTCTGCCCCTGACATCCCTCACTGCCTTGCTCGAAACGCCTGTCTTCTCATTCCTCTGGCAGGCTCAGTCTAGGCTCCCTACCTGTCTCACTCTAATCTAAGCTACAGTAATCCATTCAGTGGTCACCTCCAGATTAGACTACTGTAACTCGCTCTATGTAGGGCTACCCTTGAGACTGACCGAGAAACTCTCAACTGGTACAGAATGCAGTGGTGATGGTCCTCACAGGGACTCAAGTGAGGTCTTCAACCCGTGCTGTGTGAGCTGCACTGCCTTCCAGTGGAGTACCGGATCAGGTTCAAGGTCTTGGTGTTAACCTTCAGGGTCCTTAATGGTCTGGGACCCACCTATCTCCAGGACTGCCTCTCCTGGTATACCCCCAGAATGGCTTTGCACTCAGCAGATGAGAACTCATTGGTGGTCCCTGGCCTGCAAGACATCCGGCTGTCCTCAACCTGGTGGAACTCTCTACCAAATAACATCCATGCTCTGGTGGGACCGGATGCAGTTCTGCAGGACCTGCAAGGCTGAGATGTTCTGCCAGGCGTTTGGCTGAGAACAGGGACGGTTCCATCCTCCTGGTACTCCCACTCCCTCCCTCCTCGTGAGGCAGTGGCACGACTGGGATTTTAGCATCATCTGTTAGACTGATTGTTGTCCTTTTACTGGTTTTAACTGTTTTTAATGATGTATTCTATTAATTTATTTCACGCTGTACACTGCCCTGAGCCCTATTTTTATGAGGGAGAATGGTTTGAAATCCAAATAAATAAATAAATGAGGATTTTGGCAATTTATATGTGACTAGCAATAAGGCCCGTTGTGGAAATAAATACAACGGGATCTAGAAAGAGGCTCTGGGAGAGTGCTCTGGCTTTGGGCAAACAGTGTCAGTCTGCTTTTAAAACATGAACCTGGGACCTGCACACCACCAGAATACAGCAGGTTCCATATGCAACTGACATTCCAACTGCCTTGCCAGGGGGGGGGAGTTTGAGGTGTGGAATGGAGTGAAGTCCAATCAGCTTCCATATGCAAAAGACCAGGTTGTCGCAGCAGTTGTGGTGTGGGTGGGATCCGGGCTTTGCCTTCTGATTGGTGGCGATATATGCTGAGGAGCAGTGCCATCAGCCATACACTAAGGGAGTGCATTTTAGAATTAGAACTTTGGCACCCACTACTCAATTATATATAAGGAGAGATTACATTATTTATTTATTTATTATTATTCGATTTATATACCGCCCTAACCCCCCCATGGGGTCTCTGGGCGGTTTACAATTAATTGTGCTAATCACCAATTTACAATCCTGTCTATGGCCACAATTCATACAGGGGTTGGGTCATCCTACCAGCACCCCAGGTGGTGACGGTTTTTTCCTCCTCCGGCCTCTGGCTTCCTTGGCTGCAGATGTCAGTTCAGCGGGACGTCTCTCCTCTCCTCTGATGCCTCCGGCGGGCGGCTGCTTCTTCCGGCGCACGAGTCTGCTCTCCCCCGGCTCCGGCTATGTCCGATTGGCTCCGCCGCGCCGGGACATTAGAGACAGCCACGCCGTATTCTGACCACGTCCACTGGGAGCACTGCTCTTTGCCATTCCCAGAGGATTCTCTTCACAGGCAAGAAGGGTTCCCTACATGGTCTTTCAGAAATGATAGGGATTCTGGGGCTTGTAATTTCTCTACTGTTCCACCAAAAACTTTGTTCGTAGTTGAGGGCACATCCCTGTCCAATGCACACTGCTGGACCAAAACACTTCTTCACCCAAAGAGTGATTAACACATGGGATTCACTGCCACAGGAGGTGGGTGGCGGCTACAAGCATGGACGGCTTCAAGAGGGAATTAGATAAACATGGAGCAGAGGTCCATCAGTGGCTATTAGCCACAAGGTATGGGTAGGAACTCTCAGTTAGGGGCAAGTGATGCTCTGTATTCTTGTTACTTTGGGGGGGGCAACAGTGGGAGGGCTTCTAGTTTCCTGGCCCCACTGCTGGACCTCCTGATGGCACCTGGTATTTTTGGCCACTGTGTGACAGAGTGTTGGACTGGATGGGCCATTGGCCTGATCCAACATTGGCTTGGCTTATGTTCTTAACACTTTCTGAAGGCAAAGCTGGTTTTAGCGCTGGGACCAGGGATAGTTGTCTCTTTTCTCCATGGCTGGGACGGAGAACAAGGTGCAAATAATAGATGGAAGTTTGGAAATACAGAAGGTATAGAATTAGCATGTTGGTATCCAGAAATACCAACTGCAGGCTGTGGAAGGTTAGTAGTTCAAGACCCGAGTTGCCGCATGATGGAGTGAGCTCCCGTCTCTAGTTCCAGCTCCTGCCAACCTAGCAGTTCGAAAGCAAGAAATTGCAAGTAGATAAATAGGTACCACTTTGGTGGGAAGGTAACAGCCTTGGTGTTTAGTCATGCCGGCCACATGACCACGGAAACGTCTTTGGACAGCGCTGGCTCTTCGACTTTGAAACGGAGATGAGCACCGCAAACCTAGAGTCGGACTCAACTGGCTTTCGAGCAAGGGAACCTTTACCTTTTTTTATCCAGAAATAGGGCTGTTTTTCTGTGAAACTATATTGTAAGTAACATGGATGGAAAATAATTACGAAGCCTTTACGTGCCAGTCCCACAGGGGTAAATGAAACCTTGAAAAAACACCTCTTGACAAATGGCACCTTGAAATCATGTTTTAAAACCAGTGTGAGAGTTAAATGAAATGTTCAGGGAAATATATATAAGAATTCTTGTATGGAAGTCATACAGGTCAATGAGGCTTTTTTCAACTTTTGTCAGGAGAGAAAAATCACTATTTATTTATTTATTCCTTAGGGAAACATTGCATCTAGCAGCTAAAGAAGGCTATTTCTTTACATGTGTTAGGAAACACTTGGCAAAATGGATGCCTGGGATCAAACAGAGGTCACAAACTCCTGATGCTCCCATCAAAGACCTGTTAAATCTTCTGCCTGTCAGAAATACAAGACAAGAGCTCTGGATGGAGGGAGGTCCAAAGCTAGTGAGGGGTGTGTGTTGTGGGATAGCAGAGACACGTGGCAATCACGTGGTGTAACAAGCAGGAGGTTTTTTTTCTGGAAGAACATGACAGAACGGAGTTCCAGGACATCTTTGACAAAATTCTTTTAAAAATGTTTAAAAGTTAATGAATTTTCATATACAGTTTGAAAACTTCATTTCCCGCTTGAAAGTTCCAGCACTGCAGAGCTCTATGTTCTGAGGTAAAAAAACAACACAGTTACAGGGGACTGTAGAAAGCTAAGGACAGTTGAGGAAATCAGGAGTGGCCAACAAGCACCCGTGAGGTGAAGTAAAGCTGCTGGCCCAGCCTCTCCCAACCCCCCCCCCCCCCCCCGTCTCCTACACCTAACAGGCGGTTGTCTGTCAGGTGGAGCAGCGGTTGCAGGGTGCAGTCCTGCTGGCCCAGCTTAGCCACACTCCCACCCACAATGGAAATATACCCCAAATTTGTAGAAAACTGGTTTCCTTTATTAGCTTATTTAACTTCTTACCATGTGGGTTCTAGAAAATTGGTTCATGTGAACTTGCTTAATATCTGATTACTCGGATGGTGTTTTGAATACGTAGTTATGTCCCGCTTTTTAAATGTAACATAAATGAGAGGCAATTTTTTTTTGGGGGGGGGGAATGGTATCCCCCCCCAATTCAATGCCCAGGCCAAACCCCTGTACCAAGAAACCCAACGTAAGGGGACTACATTCCTTCCATGATGTCAAACCCCCACCCCACAAAGAGATTTCTGAGAAACATGACCCCTAAGGGGGTAAAAAAAAGGGACAAAATGTGTTCCCCAAATAGTTTTCCATGTGCCTGGCAGCCTGCTGCCCCCCCTCCCCAGATTGGTCAACTGTGTAGCTCAGTTCTGAGGTAAAACCTCAGGAGTTGACTTAACAGACAACTGCTTCCTAAATGTTGCCTGCTCCAGAGTGAGCTCACCAAGCAGCCTGGTGATTCTAGCACCTGAGGGCAGAATGAGCTCCCAGAGGAGACCAGGGCCCTGCGGGACCTTTCACAGTTCCACAGGGCCTGCAAGACGGAGCTCTTCTGCCAGGCATTTAATTAGGGGCCGCCGCTGTCATTGAGCCTTGGCTCGTGGTTTTAACATCAAGCCCTGGCCCATAGCCTTAACATCGAGCCGATGCCATAAGAAATTTTTAGCAGAACATCTGAAATATCTGGGATGCGGTAATTCATCTTGAATATGAGCCATCTAAGTTAAGCTTTTAACTGTTGCCAGCACCTTGTGTTTGTATTTTATCTGTTGTGTTTTAAATGATTGTATGATTTTAACTGTAAATGTTTGTATGGAAGCTGCCCTGAGCCTGCTTTGTGGGGGGGGGGGGTTATAGGTTTGATTTGTAGCGAAGCACGGGTATCAGGCTAGTAAGAACATAAGAGAAGCCAATGTTGGATCAGGCCAATGGCCCATCCAGTCCAACACTGTCACACAGTGGCCAAAAATACCAGGTGCCATCAGGAGGTCCAGCAGTGGGGCCACTGCCTAGCTTTGTTGGTTACCCATCAGTTACCAGGGGAGGATGGTTAGGTGTAGTGAGAGCCAGTTTGGTGTAGTGGTTAAGCGCGCGGACTCTAATCTGGGAAAACCGGGTTTGATTCCCGACTCCTCCACTTGGACATGCTGGTTGACCTTGGGCAAGCCATAGTTCTGGCACAGCTGGTCTTGAGAAAGAGCAGTTCTGTCAGAGCTCTCTCAGCCCCACCTACCTCACAGGGTGTCTGTGGTGGGGTGGGGGAAGGGAAAGGAGTTTGTAAGCTGCTCTGAGACTCCTTTGGGTAGTGAAGGGCAGGGTATAAATCCAATCTCTTCTTAATTTTTTCTTCTATATATGGGAGGTTTCTACACCTCTCCTACATAACAGAAGAACTCAGAAACATTCTCACAATAACCCAAAAGCTGATATTGAGACACAACCAATCTAAAATGCACCATGGACCAAGGCTCCCTGAAGAGGTAAGTGGGGCCCCTCCTTGGAGATCTTCCAGAGGCCCTGCAAGGACTGCTTGTTTGCCAGGGTTTTTTGCAGACTTTTGAATGGCAGACATCTTTTAAGGGGGCAAGGGGGGGGAGATGTGAGGTTTGCTATGTTATTTTTTTGTTTTAGTTGACAATGTATTTAAATATTACTGTAAGCTGACTTGAACTGCAAGGAAAACGGGACATAAATGTTTTAATAAAATAAATCACATGTTCTAATAGCAAAGTTGGCGAAATCTGAGCATACCTAAATCCGGTGACTGGAGCTGTGTAGGGGAAGACAGAACTTTCTACAAACAGAACATTTTCCCAGAGTTGCAGAAAAATGTGAAATATATTTAGGAAAAAATGTTTTTTTTAAAAACACCATATGATAAAAGGAGCACCTGTAGCTTTAAGAAATGGATTGCCTCAGTGGCTGTTGCTAGGCAACCGCAGCATTCCCTACTGGGTTTCTGTGAATAAAAGGCAGGAGGAGAGGACGGGTCCTTTTCAAAGGAGTTTTGGCCTTTGAGGAAGGATTCATCAGGGTCAGGCATTTTCAGGGTTGCCAGTTACAGGTTGACAACTTCCTGGAGATTTAGGGGTTGAGCCTTGGAGAGGGCAAGGCTTGGCAAGATGAGGAGACTCAGCCAGATATTATTTATTTATTTATAGTTGGCCTCTCTCACTTGGACTCAAAGGCAGATTACACAGAGTGAGTCAATACAAACAACAAGATGGAGCATTTGACAAAGGTTGTCGAACCAATCAGATATCTAAAAACAGCACTAATGCAAAAACATGTCTTAATATGACACATTAAATGACTCAAAAATTACATAGTAGGATCCTAGTTTCAGTACGTTAAAGACAGCCACACAGACCACATTCCTAGTAGGATCTTAGTTCACACAGTAGCATAGACCATAGTCCCTAATCATTTATGCAAGTAATTTTCTGAGTCATTTAGGACAGTGCAACTCTGTCGCATGCATAGAAAAGCTCTCTAGAATCCTTGTTTTGCATGGTTTGCAGACAGCCTGGAGAGCGGGAGCCTTCCTCAGGCTCCCTCAGGCAGGGCATGCCTTAAGGTGGGGGCCACAACAGAGGATAGATTTCAGGCCTCTTCAATCATTTCTGTATCTCCTCACCAGTCCAAGCACATCCTGTTTCAGGTCTCTTCACAATTCTCAAAATCACAGTTCCAAATTAGTTCGCTCCAAATATATTCCAAGTGAAAATTGAAAGGTAAGCAGATCCAAAACCAGTAACAGATGGAAAATAATGAAGGAAATCCAAACTTTTAATATTCCAACCAAGTAAAATCCACATAAAATCCAATAAAATCTAACAGGTAGGTAGAAAAATCCAGCAAAAAATGTGGAAAATACAGCCAGGGTTTTCCAAATTTATAATCCAAAGGTAGGCATGAAAGTATCCCGTGTTTTCCAGCTTTATAGTCCAATCAAAGTGAGCAGATTTATAATCCAGCCAAGATGCGAAGCAAAATAGCTTTTAACTTCTAACTGCCACTTCTAGTTACCATCCAGCTAACATTCTGAAGTCTTCCTTTTCCCTCAACAACAACAAAAAACCAAATCCAGTTCAGATGTCCATTTTTGATTGCTTCTAACTTATTTACTCCCTTTAAGTACAGCTTTTCTCTGTCTCAGGGAGATATGCAAAAGTGAAAGTAAAATGCACGTAACAAGCAAAACAGGAGAGGGGTGAACAGCCTTTAGAAACTGTCCCTAATCTTTGTTCCCTCTTGAAAAAATTCCTTGTCTAAAAGTATTTATAGTCAGATAGTCAAGTAGGGAGGGTAAACGTTTAATTCTTTAACTCGCAGTTTATGAAGTTTGCAGGCAGATTCTCTTTGCTGTTTTTCTACGTTGTTTCGTGCAAGCAGCTGAGTGCCAAGATGGTGCTGTGCCCACTGGGATGTCGGGGCTTATCTCCGGGTCTCAACCCCCAGTCTAGCTGAGAGAAGTGACCCAAGAAATGCACCCCACTGTTTTCAGAGACCCCCTTCCAGGGGCCTCCTTGGGTCTAGAGTCCTCTAGACCTCCCCAAAAGTGGGTCAGTTCAGAACGTCCCAGGAGCTCCTTGAGACGTTACTCACCTTGCTGCTGCATCAACCAGAAGTCTCTTCCCACATTCTGAACATTCAAAAGGCTTATCCCCTCTGTGGGTTCTTAGTTGTTCTTGAAGTCTGCCACTGTGATTGAATCTCTTCCCACACTCTGAACATTCAAAAGGCTTATCCGCTCTGTGGGTTCTTACATGATTTTGAAGAGTGCTACTCTGACTGAATCTCTTTCCACACTCGGAGCATTCAAAAGGTTTCTCCCCTGTGTGGGTTCTAAGATGAGTTTGAAGAGTGCTACTCTGAGTGAATCTCTTCCCACACTCTGAGCATTTAAAAGGCTTATCCACTCTGTGGGTTCTTACATGATTTTGAAGAGTGCTACTCTGACTGAATCTCTTCCCACACTCTGAGCATTCAAAAGGCTTCTCCCCTGTGTGGGTTCTAAAATGTTTTTGAAGACTGCTACTGCCACTGAATCTCTTCTGACACTCTAAGCATTCAAAAGGTTTCTCCCCTGTGTGGGTTCTAAAATGTTTGTGAAGACCGCTACCATCACTGAATCTCTTCTGACACTCTGAGCATTCAAAAGGCTTCTCCCCTGTGTGGGTTCTAAGATGTTTTTTAAGACCGCCACCGTCACTGAATCTCTTCTGACACTCTGAACATTCAAAAGGTTTCTCCCCTGTGTGGGTTCTAAGATGTTTTTGAAGACTGCTACCGTCACTGTATCTCTTCTGACACTCTGAGCATTTAAAAGGTTTCTCCCCTGTGTGGGTTCTTAGATGAGTGTGAAGATGGCTACTCTGACTGAATCTCTTATGACACTCTGAGCATTCAAAAGGCTTTTCCCCGGTGTGGATTCTTAGATGTTTTTGAAGATTGCTACTGTGACTAAATTTCTTCCCACACTCTGAGCATTCAAAAGTCTTATCCCCTGTGTAGGTTCTAACATGATGAGTGCCCCTGCGACTGAATCTCTTCACAAAATCTGATAATTCAATCGGCTTCTCCCCTGTGTGAGTTCTAAGATGATTTTGAAGATGACTACTCTGACTGAATCTCTTCCCACACTCTGGGCATTCAAAAGGGTTCTCCCCTGTGTGGGTTCTTACATGGTTCTGAAGAGTGCTACTGTAACTGAACCTCTTCCCACACTCTGAGCATTCAAAACACTTCTCCCTAGTGTGAGTTCTTAGATGCCTTTGAAGATGACCACTGTGACTGAACCTCGTCCCATACTCAGAGGATTCAAAAACCTTCTCCCCTACATGGGTTCTTAGATGAAGAGCTCTATTGTAACTGAATCTCTTTACACGCTGTGAATATGCAAAAGGCTTCTCCCCTCTGTGAATTCTTTGATGCACAAGGAGCTGTGATCTGTATTTGAAGTAGTTTCCGCACCAAATGCATTTATGTGCATTCATTATACTGTGCTTTGGAAAATGTATGTTACCTTTGCATGCCACAGAGAACGTCATTCCAGTCTCTGAGTAAGTAAATAGATTCCCTCCTGTATGAATGCTTTGGTGTTGAACAAGGTCTGATTTCTCTGAGAATCTCTTGCCACAGTCTGAGCAGCTAAAAGGTTTATCTCCTCTACGTGTTCTTTGAAGTCTAAGGAGCTCTGCTTTACGAATCATGGTCTTTCCACACTCCAGCCATCGATGGGTCTTCTTTCCACTGTGCATTCGTAAATGCACATTATACTGGGGTTGATCTGAGAAGTTCATTCCACATGCCAAGCACTTGTATGTTTTCTTCACTGTGTGAATTACTTCTTGGGAATCCCCCCCTTGGAAAGGAATGGGTTTACCCATCTTCTGGACGATGTGGCTTCTTTTCTGTTTCTTAGGTCCAACTTTGTGTCTGAAGTTTCCTCTCAAATCTTCATTCTTGACTTCATCTGGTGATAGAGGATGCAGTTCCTCATCCTCCTCATTCCTCTGACCATCCCCAGCTGGAATAAAGAAAGAGATCCTGTTAGAACTCACACAAGGAAGTCTGATCTGCACCTGAAGTTCCATCCACAATCCAAATATTACAGTGGCTTCTTCCCGCTGTATGCTGAAGTGTACAATAACATACACTTTAAAAGTTCATTAAGCCTCCTGCAGATGCTTGGTTTGGACTCTACCCATTTATATGGCTCCCAGCTGTGTGACTTTTTAAATGTAAAGCAAGGGCTCTTTTCTGACTGAAGGTCTTTCTGCACTCCAAGCAATTATACGGTTTCTTTCCTAATGGAATTTGTGACTGCAAAATGATGTTCATTCTCTGACTGAAAGTCTTTGCAAAGGCCACACTTTCATTTCCCCTGGAGTGGATTTTCTGGTTAGGATGGAGACCTTTGTTCCTTCTCTTTTTGACTGACTTTTATTCTTGGACTGGAATTTCAGGGAAATCTGCTCCTCAGCAAGGAATGGGTTTATCCCTCCTCTTACCTGCCTGGCTTCCCTCCTGCCTCTGTGATCCATCTCCATCTCCAAAGTGTCCTTCAGCATCTTCATTCTTGACTTTTTCCAAAGACAACCCCTGGAATTCCCCAGCTGTCTCCTGTACATCTGCTGCTGAAACAAAGAAAGAGTTTCAATCATCACCCATGCAAGATGCCAAGGAACCAGTCAGACATTACTCGTGAATGGGTGGGCATTTTTTAAATAAGATCTTCTTTCTTCCCAAACTGAGAAATCAGTCACATCTTATGACTGCCAGGCCCTCCTGTTATATTCTGTCTATCCCTCCCCTCCCCAAACCCCTAAATGTGTTTTAAGGGGAAAAGTGGCAAAAAATTGCTTCCCCACTGTTAAGAACATAACAGAAGCCAATGTTGGATCAGGCCAATGACCCATCCAGTCCAACACTCTGTCACACAGTGGCCAAGAATACCAGGTGCCATCAGGAGGTCCACCAGTGGGGCCAGGACATTAGAAGCCCTCCAATTTCCCAGTTGATTTGCCATGCTTTTTGACTTTTGTGCTTGATGATTAAATATAAGAGGTTATCAAGATATCCAGACCTGCAACTGCACGGAGAGTTTCCTTCCAGTTATCAACAGAGCCAGGAGGAGCTGGTTTTCAGACTCCCCAAATTCATGTTGTCGGGGGGGGGGGGGGAGAAGCCAGGAGATCACCAAGTGAACCCCATAGTTTACAGGGGACCCCCATGGTTTTTGGGAAAGGTGCTGTTTGTTGGAACGGGCAGGTAATGACAGATGAGAAAACCAGCCTTGCACTATAGGGTCACCTTTCTCAAGGTCAGAACCATTTTCTTGCTGTTTCTGAGCCGTTCTCTGCACCTTAGCTGGGCCTCTCTATTGTCTAAAGCACAGCCATGTCTGAATCATCCAGGCAGTTCTGCCTTTCCTAGAAGCACAGAGTCAGCCTGTTTCTCTGGAAAGAAGTGTATTTTATTGTCAGCAAGAGATAGCCAGAAGATTGATTATTGGGCCTCAAGGTCATTAACTTATTACAGTAGAGTAAGGCCCTCTGGAAGCCCATTCCAGAGGAACGGGCTGTGTCAAAAAGTCCAGATAAGACCCCAGAAGACTCTGTCCTGTTTCATCCTCCCCAAACACCTGAAAGACGCAGTGACCACACAGCAAGCATGCAGTTATCCATGTGTGCAGCATGACCAGGGTGATGCAATATAAACGTGGGGAACTTAGTTTGGCAGATCCTTAGAGCAGTGTTGGGTTCGGGGGGGGGGGGAGATTTTGAGAATCTTCTGGAAAGATGGGAACATGGTCAAGATCAAAGACCAGAACCCTAACCAGTATAAGGGGGATGGACCCTTTACAGATCACAGTCAGAGCGGATGGCCTTAATCCCATCTTGGGGAAGGGCATCTTGTAAAGGCCGGCAACTGAGAAATTGGGATCTGGCCCCTTCCAGACTCTTTCTGAGGGCCTCTCAGCCCCTCCTCGGCCACAGGCCAGGACACCCTCTCTGGCTTGGGCGATGCCCACCACACTGGCCATGCTGAACCATCGCTTTTACTGCTACCCCCACCTCCTTGAGGCCCCTAGTGGGGGGGGGAGGAAGATTGGCAGGCAGTCCTCAGAACCACATGTTGCATTTCAATATTTTGATTCCTCCATCGTCCCAATGGCAGCAATTCGCACCTTTGGCACCTATGAAAGGTCCTTACCCAGAGAGGCCACGCTCCTGTAGTTCTCCAGCATGACGTCTCTGTAGAGGGCTCTTTGGCCCGGATCCAGAAAGGCCCACTCGGCTTCAGTGAAATACACGGCCACCTCCTCAAAGGAAAAGGGAGCCTGAAAGAAAAAGCAGATTCCCTCGTCAGAGATCAGTCTCGGTAGAGACTACACTCTCCACAGGGGCATTCTGGGAGGGTGCAGGATGAAGAGTTTGGCATGCGTCAAGAGCGTGGGGTTCAGAGCCTGTCTCTCCTCGGTCAGCAGGACCAAAAGCCTCCTTGAGAAAGAAGTGGGGACCTGACTACCCCCAATCTTCCCCCCCTACCTGGACCAGAGGTGGAGCAGCCGTTTCCACTCCTCTGAAAAGACGACAGGCTGACAACATCTCTTCACTGCCTGCAAGGGAGACAAAATTGGATGAATGTTAACCTCAAGTTCCTATTTTGTTGGCTTCTTTGAATTCTGCTTCATGCAGAATCCTGTTCCCAGGATTGTGACACCTTTTCTTCTTTACACTCCAGAAAATTTGTAATGATCTTTAGTAAGACGTGGGAGAGGTGGAAGAGAAGCACAAGGTACCGATGAGCCTCAAAGTCTTATAAATGCTGCCAACCTTTTGTGAGACGTGAAATTTGCCCTGTGCACCCCAAAGCTCCAAAGGTTGCAGCATCCCTGCTGCATGAGGACAAAAGCCCAGTCACTCCATTCTCCCACCTGCTGGGCACTCTGACCCATCATGGAATCTGGACTGGCAGGAGAAAAAGAGGGGACCAGAAATCATGTTGCACGACAAGTCGCCGTCGCATCTAGCCCAAAACCCAGATGTGATCTTAGTGCATCAGCCAAGTCTCTGGAGACTTCAGGGTACCACCAATGGGTTTCCAGGGCATCTGCTGATGCTCTGACTTCACATCCAGACATTAGGCCAGTCAAGACATCGACATGACATCATGCCCACCCCATGTTCCACCCTCAAACCTCATGGGGGGTACCAGGCCATGGCCTGGCATCCCTGGTCCAGTATCCTCTTTCTCCTGTGGCCTGCCAGATGCCCCTGGAAATCCTTTATGTAGGGGCATAGAACCCAAATTATTGCCCCTAGGAACGGGGTTTCACAGGTATGCTGCCCCAGAACATTGGGGGGGGGGGGTTTAAAGTGCTGTGAAGTCACAGCTGACTTGGGGTGAACCTACAAGTTATTCAAGGCGAGAAACCTTCAGAGGCGGTATGCCATTGCCTGACCCTGCTTAGTTTCTGAGATCCGAGGAGACTGGGCTAGCCTCAGGCATCCATATCTGGGGAATTTGGACATTCCACTGATTCACCATGGCTAATAGCTGCACCCTCATTTCTCTTCCTTTCCTTTTTTGAGCCACCATGAGACACTGTAATGGAAGGAAGGTGAGATCTGCACATTTTAATTAATGTAAATAAGAAAGAAACTGTCCTCCATGAATCTGTCTACTCCCCTTTAAAGTGGAGCACTCATCACGACATCCTATGGCACTCTGTGTCCCAGAACGCCATTCTATGTAGTCTGCAATAGTATTTCCCTTTTCTCCTGTCCTGAACCTTCTGCCAAAAAAATTGACTATGTGCCCTGATCCCATCTAGGCAGGAGGCACCCTTACCACTTGACAGGGCATCTCGGGCATCCTCCTGGGCCTGCGTCCTCTGACTTTCCTCTGACGGAGCTCCTTCTTCCTCAGAGAGCTTTGCTTCCATCTTCACGGATCGTCCCCACATCTGAAACAACAACAACAGAGGCAGGTAAGAGAAGGAATGGAAATATCTAGTGAAATATCTAGAGGTAGAAATATCTAAGAAAACAGAAGTTATACAAAGGAGATGAAAGGATGACAGATTCCTTTCCAAAAGAATTTTTTTAAGAATCATCAACGGTTTAAGAAAGGGAAGGGAAAACTGCATTAAGGGCAACTGGGAGAAACAAATCACCAGGAGTAGATGGGATATCAATAGAAATAGTCCAAGTCACAGAAAAGGAGTCCCTCAAAATCTTAACAAGAATTTGCTAACAAATATGGAAAGCAAAACAATGGCCCACAGACTGGAAACACTTACTTTACATTCCAATTCAAACAAAAGGAGATATCAAAGACTGCAGCAACTACTGAACCTTTGCATAATTTCTCATGGGAGTAAAGTGATGATCAAAATCTTAAAACGAAGACTGTTACCATACATTAAATGAGAAATGACAGATGTTGAAGCTGGATTCAGAAAAGGACGAGGTACTTGAGATCCTGTTGCAAATTTAGGTTCATTATTGGAGCATACAAGAGAATTTCAGAAGAAAATCACCTGGTGCTTCACAGATTACAGCAAAGCTTTGGACTGTGTGGATCATGAAAAGCTATGGCTGATTTTAAAAGAAGTGAGTCTGCCATAACAACTGTTTGCACTGATGCGCAACCTGTACTCTGGACAAGAGGCCAGTGTTAGGACAGAAGACAGAGAAACAGAATGATTTCCAAACTGGCAAAGGTGCCAAACGTATTTTATCTCCCTTTCTCTTCAGTCTATATTCAGAACATAGCATAAGGAGAGCTGGATTAGATATAAACAAGGGGCGGGGCCCGCGATACTCGTGGGGGGGGAGGCAGAGGAAGCAGCAGGAGGAGGTAAGTACCCCCCCATCCCGCTGGTTCCCCCGTCTCCTCCACCCCCCCCTTGCCTTTCCTCCCTCTTGCCTTCCCCCCCCGGCTCCTCGCCGTTCCCCCCGCCGGCCCCGAAGTGAGCGCCGAGCAGCGCGCCGCTCGGCCCTCGCTGCTCTTCCCCCCCGCTCCGAAGCGAGCACCGAGCGGCACGCCCCTCGGCCCTCGCTGCTGGCTCTTCCCCCCCTGCTCCGAAGCGAGTGCCAAGCGGCACACCGCTCGGCCCTTGCTGCTGTTTCCCCCCCGCCCCGAAGCGAGCGCCGCGCAGCTTGCCGCGCGGCCCTCGCTGCTTGCAGAGCGTTCCCTGCGCATGCGCAGGGGACGCTCTGTCAGTTTCGGGGGGATTTAAGTATCCCCCCGATAGTTTTTGTTAGGTTTAGGATTTTTGTGCACACCTGGGGACCGCCCCACATGTGCACAGAAATCTCCCTCCCCCCCAGGTGCCCCCGATGTGCGGGAATAAGTATCCGCACACCAGGGGGCAACTTGGCTATTAGATATATAGATGAAGGAATAGGGAAAATCGGCAGAAGGAACAGTATCAATTTGAGATATGCAGATGATTCCACATTACAGGCAGAAAATAGTGAAGACTTGAAATAACTATTAATGTAGGTTAAAGCAGGAAGTGCCACAGCAGAATTACAGCTGAACATCAAGAAGACAAAAGTAATGACTAGTGTGGAATTGCACAAATGTAGGGTTAATGATGAAGAACAAGAAATTGCTCAAGACTTTCTCTTCCATGACTCCATCGTCAACCAAAAGGGGGACAGCAAGCAAGAAACCAGGAGACTGAGGCTGGGAAGGGCAGCCAAGAAGGAGCTAGAAAAGATTCTCTGGTGTAAGGATGTGTCACTGGTGACCAAGATCGAGTTAATTCATGCCAGAGTATTCCCCATTACTATGTGTGGGGAAGAAGAGGAAGAGGAGGAAGAGGAAGAATAAGAATAAGAATTGGATTTATACCTCGTCCTTTACTCAGAGTCTGAGAGCAGCTTACAATCTCCTTCCCTTCCTCCCTCCACAACAGATACCCTGTGAGGTAAGTGGGGCTGAGAGAGCTCTGAGAGAACAGCTCTGAGAGAACTGACCCAAGGTCACCAGCTGTCTACACCAAACCGGATCCCAGTTGTGCTATTGGAGGAGCACATGCAAACAGATACTGTGGACCACAAAAAAGACAAATCAGTCGGTTCTAGATCAAATCAAACCTCAACACTCCCTAGAAGCTAAAATGACTAAAATAATGTTATCGTACTTTGGTGACATTATGAGAAGAGAAGAGTCACTGGAAAAGACAATAATATTAGGAAAAGTTGAAGGCAGGAGGAAAAGAAGACGACCAAGCACGAGATGGATTGACTCAATCAAGGAAGCCATGCCCCTCAGTCTGAAAGACCTGAGCAAGGCTCTTAATGATAGGATGTTTTGGAGGACATTGATTCATGATGTCAGCATATGTTAGAAACAAAGTGGTGGCAGCTGACACTCACACACACTGAAATATCTGACAGGAAGCCTTAGGATAAGGTCACTGCTTGAACTGAGTGCATGAAAACCCCTCACCTGCTCTGCCTGCCTCTTCTCCTCTGCCTGACTCAGGAGGAAACCTTCAGCCAGGGCCACCGCCTGCGAACTGGTCTCTGGCCCGCATCCTCTGACCCAGCACTGCATTTCCTGGGGCAGGACAGTCAGGAACTGCTCCAGGATCACCAGGTCCAGGATCTGCTTCTTGGTGTTCCTCTCCGGCTTCAGCCAACGGTTGCAAAGTCCATGGAGCCGGCTGCAAACCTCTCGGGGCCCATCGGCCTCATGGTAACAGAACTGCCGGAAGCTTTGGCTGCGTATATCTGTGCTCACAGTGCCCTGAGCCAAGGTCTGTGGCAGAGCTCTTTCCCAAAATTCAGCAGCACTCCCTGCTGGGATGGGACGGGGACCTTTCCTCGATCTCTTGCCGGTTCCAGGGCCTTCTGGGTCCTCCTCTTCCATCTCCTTCTCCATTCTCTTTAATCACCTCTGACTGTGGAAAGACACTCTTATTCACTTTTCTAGGAAAAGGGAGAGGGAAAGACATCCAAAAGTCAAAAAGAAACCAAAAGAGGACTGTGTTATGTCACTGACCCTGGTCCAGAGAGATCTAAGTGGATCAGGAGTGTCTGTATTGTAGTTTGCGGATCAGGATTAATGTCATTGGGTTATACTAAGTGTCAAGCTTTTTAGGATATGCTTGTTCGGTCCTTCAGGAAAGAAAAACATCTGTTTGGCTCCTACAAAATCTACCGTGGATGTTATGAGTTTGGCCTCCAGTTTCTGGGGACCATTCTGTTTAGTGGGTGCAACTCTAGGTAAACTGGATCCCAGGACAAAGCAACTGGTAAGGGCTTAACCACTGCAGGGAGCTCCTCCACAGGCCAGGAGGGCTGGGCAAGAGCTCCGCCCAAGCAGCCAGTGGAGGGGAAGGGGCAGGGGGGCCTCTCCAGGGCAGGGCACACAGGGGCTGCTGGGGGCAAGCAGAAGCAGAAGGAGGGGGCAGGGATGGGGCAGAGGTCCTCAACTGCTTCCTGGCTGCTGTGGTCAAATGGCTGAGAGTGAACAAGTTGAAACTGAACCCTGGAAAGACAGAAGTCGTACTGGTTGGGAAAGCAGAAGTCTTCAAGGACGTCCTGTTCCTCACTTTCGATGGGGTTCAGCTGACCCTTGCAGACTCAGTTTAGAGCCTATTGTTATACTGGACCCAGCCTTATTGCTGGAGAAGCAAGTTAATGCAGTTGCAAAAAAGGCTTTCTTCCAACTGAGCCTAGCTCAAAAAATGGCTCCTTCCCTTGATATAGTTGATCTGGCCAACAGCATCCATGCCACAGTGACATGGAGACTAGACTAGATCAATGCCCTGTACATTGCATAAAACCAACTTAGAAACCCCAGCTCATGCAGAACGCCCGGGCTCGGCCATTATCAGGAGCTAGATGGAGCAGGCGAATTCCTGCCCTTCTGCAGTCCCTCTGCTGGCTGGCCTGGACAGGGGCCTTCTCCCTTCTGGCCCCCCAGGAATGGCCTGCCTGAGGGGGTCAGGAAGGCCCCCACTCTCCTGCCTTTCCACAGACTAAGCAAAACTGAATTATCCATGAGGGCTTTTCTAAGCAGACAATAGGGTACCACTGAATAAGGTTTCTTGGATACATCATTAGGGCATGTGGTCTGAATGACTGTGTTTAGTTTGCTGTAAATAGAATCCTACTATACCACATTAGCATTTATGCTTTCCTTCAACAGTGTCAGATGTTCTCCAACCCAAATTCTATTGCATAGTTTATTGAATGTATTGATTGTATAGCATCCAGTGTTCCCTCTAAGCTGAGTTGGTGTGAGCTAGCTCACAGTCTTTTAGCCTCACACATTTTTGTCTTAGCTCAGGAAGGGATGGCTCCAGAGCTAACTAATTTATGCAGCAGCCAAATCGCTTGCTCACAACTTTAATGCCGGTAGCTCACAAAGCAGACTTTTTGCTCACAAGACTCCACAGCTTAGAGGGAACATTGAATTAGCATCCCACTAAAGGGTGGATTATAAGTAATGTATATAAATAAAATAAGGTCAATAACACACACACACACCCGAAACTGCAGATGGGGGGAAAGTACCGCCCAAAAGGCGACGTATTTCGGCAGCCTCTCGGCAGGAAGGATTCCCACCGCCGTGATCCCGCCTGGGACTTCTTCCCGGGCCTCCCTCCGACCTCCCTGGCTGAAGATTTATTTCGATCCCCAAAATTCAGATTCTCCCCTTCAGTCCCGGCCAGGGGCCGCACGGGGGCTAACAAAGGACAACATCCATCAGAAAAACCAGCTTTTTAAATTACTGAACACTTAGGCTTCCCAAACCCCCGCTGGGGACGGGGGAACTCCTGTTTTCAATACCCCCTCCCCCGCTTTCTAAAAATTGGGCCCCGGGGGAAAAAATGGCGGCTGGAAAGTGACGCTCCATATTAAGTCCTCCAAGTCTCTATGGTTCTTAAAACCACAGAGACAAGGAGGACTAGAGCGTCAGTTTCAGTTTCCCCCTGGTCCTCATGGCGTGGCTGGCCGGCAGTCTCTGAGTGACTGACTGAGCTCCTGTGCCGGGCCCATTGCAGCAGTTCCTGAGGTTCCCCCCTCCCACACTGTGAAGAGATGTAAGTATTGGGGACCCAGTTCCCGGGATGCTGCTGAGAAGGATTGGGTGAGCTGAAAGGGGCTTGGGGGTCTGGTGCAACTCACCCAAAGTGGAGAGGAAGGAGCATTTAACTCTCCCCCGCAACAGAAAAAGCCTCTTCGAGGCGAGCAAAAGCAAAGAAATGGAAAGGGAAGGACCTTCTTGCCCTTCGGGACGGGACTCAACCTGGGCAAGAGGCTGATTTGAGGCAGGGGGGGGGAAGAGATGAGACACCCACACCCACTCCGAGTCCTGCCAGTGCCCCTCCATTACTTCCAAACTCGGACCCATCCGGGCAGCCGTCATGTCCTTTGTGCTTTGAGAAACTGTGTGGGGTTTTTTGCTAGGGTTGCCAAGTGGGGGGTCTGCAATGCAAGACCCAAAATGGAGAGGAAGGAGCATTTAACTGGGGGGGGGAGAGACTCCCCCCTCCTCCCCTTTCACCCCCCTCCCTCGCATCAGAAAAAAGCTGCTTCAATAGCCTCCATTTCTTCCCATCCCTTCTCTCCCCAGGGACACACACAAGTTTGGTTCAATGCTCCCTCTAAGCTCTGGAGTCTTGTGAGCAAAAATTCTGCTTGGTGAGCGAGCAAAAGCAAAGAAATCCCCCAGAAAAGGTCTGGGGAAGAAAGAAAGACTCCCGGACG